GGCTTGGACAGTGGCTCACACCTATAATTCCAGTACTTTGGGAGATGGAGATGGGCAGATCACCTAAGGTCAGGAGTTTGAGACGAGTCTGGCCAACATGGTGAAACCCTGTCTCAACTAAAAATACAAAAATTAGCCGGGCATGGTGGTGCATGCCTGTAAATCCAGCTACTCAGGAGGCTGAGGCAGGAGAAATGTTTGAACCTGGGAGGAGTAGGTTGCAGTGAGCCGAGATCTCGCCACTGCACTCCAGCCTGGGCAACAGAGTGAGACTCCATCTCAAAAAACAAAAAAAAGTTCAGGTTCACTGTCCATTTTCAGAATGAGGTTGTTTTCATACTATTGAATTGTTTGAGTTATTGTATATTTGGGGCTATTGTATATTTGGGGGTTATTGTATATCTGATAACCCCTTATCAGATGTACAGTTTGCAAATATTTTCTCACATTTCATAGTTTGAGTCTTTACTCTGTTGATTGTTTTTTTGGCTGTGCAGGAGCTTTTTAGTTTGAAATAATTTTATTTGTCCATTTTTGCCTATGTTGTCTATGGTTTGGAGTTTGTATCTAAAAAATCATTGCTCGGACCCAACTTAAGGAATTTATCCCTAATTATTTAAAGTAGTTGTACAGCTTTAGACCTTACAGCAGTGAAGTCTTTCATCTGTTTTGAGTTGAGATTTGCATATGGTTTGAGATAAAGATCTAATTTTCTTTTTGCGCATGTGGTCACATTTATTGTGTAGTTGAATCATCCTTGCATTCCAGGAATAAATTCTACTTGGCTATCTGGTATTTGATGTGTGATCTAATTCAGTTTGCTAGTATTTTGTTGAAGATTTGCGAGTTTGCTCATCTTTTTTCTTAATATAGGCATTTACTGCAATATACTTCACTCTTAAACTGCTTTTGCTATATCCCATAACTATTGATATGTTTTTTTTATCTTCTTTTGTGTAAAGATCTATATATCTCTGTATATAGTATATCTCTATATATAGATATATATATAGATATTTTTGTTTGTTTGTTTGTTTGTTTTGAGACGGAGTTTTGCTCTTATTGCCCAGGCTGTAGTGCAATGGTGTGATCTCGACTCATCACAACCTCTGCCTCCCAGGTTCAAGTGATTCTCCTGCCTCAGTCTCCCGAGTAGCTGAGATTACAGGCATGAGCCACCATGCGTGGCTAATTTTGTATTTTTAGTAGAGACAGGGTTTCTCCATGTTGGTCAGGCTGGTCTCGAACTCCCAACCTCAGGTGATCCACCTGCCTCGGCCTCCCAAAGTATTGGGATTACAGGTGTGAGCCACTGTGCCCAGCCTAAGAGATGTATATTTTTTAATTTTTAATTTCTGTGGGAACATAGTAAGTATACCTATTTATGGGGTACATTAGATATTTTGATAGAGGCATACAATGTGTAATAATCCCATCAGGGTAAATGGGATATCTATCACTTCAAGCATTTGTCCTTTGTGTTACAAGAATTCCAATGATAGTTATTTTAAAAGGTACAATTAATTATTATTGCATATGGTCACCCTGTTGTGCTATCAAGTACTGGGTCTTATTTATTCTTTATATTTCTGTACCTATTAACTGTCCTCACTTCCCCCGACACCTACTATCCTTCCCAGCCTGTGGTAATCATCATTCCATTCTACATCTCCGTGAGTTCAACTGGTTTTTTTTTTTTTTTTTTTGAGATGAAGTCTTGCTCTGTCACCCAGGCTGGCGTGCGGCTATGGAATCTCAGCTCGCTGCAACCTCTGCCTCCCGGGTTCAAGCGATTCTCCTACCTCAGCCTCGCAAGTGGTTGGGATTACAGGCATGCACCACCATACCCAGCTAATTTTTGTATTTTTAGTAGAGATGGAGATTTTCCATGTTGGCCAGGCTGGTCTCAAACTCCTGACCCCAGGTGATCCACCTGCGTCAGCCTCCCAAAGTGCTGGGATTACATGCATGTGCTACTGCGCCCAGCTGAGTTCAATTGCTTTAATTTTTAGCTCCCACAAGCAAGTGAGAACATGTGAAGTTTATCGTTCTGTGCCTGGCTGATTTCACTTAACGTAAGGTCCTCCAGTTCCATCCATGTTGTTGCAAATGACAGGATCTCATTCTTTTTATGACTGAATGGTAGTCCACTGTGTATATGTGACATTTGCTTTCATCCAGTCATCTGTTGGCGGACAGTTAGGTTACTTCCAAATTTTGGCTATTATGAAGAGTGCTTCAATATAAAATCTTTCTGTTATTGATTTCTAATATTATACTATTGTGATAAAAATATACATAATATGATTTCAAACTTTTAAAATTTGTTAAGAGTCGTTTTGTGGCCCAATATATGATCTATGTTGGAGAATGTTCCTGTGCCCTTGAGAAGAATGTATTCTTCTAGCTGTTTGCAACAATGAATCTATCTATGGCCTGTTCAGTCGTGGGGGGTGGGGTGTGGCGTGGTGCGTGTGGTATGCGTGCTGCGATGTGTGTTTCGTTTGGATGGTTTGCTGGGTGAGGTGTTGTATTCAGTTGTCTTGTGGTGTCTGGTATTTCGTGTTTTCGCTGGTCTGTGTTTGAGTTATTTGCTTTGGTTAGGTGGTTGGTAGTGTCAAGATGTGTGTCGTTGGGATGTGTGTTGTGTGTTATGTTCTTATTTTGTCTGATTTTGTGGTTGGGGTAGTGTAGTGCTTGTGTTGTTGTATTCTGATATGAAGTTGTGTTATGGCTAGATAATGTTCTTGTTGTGTCTGGTTTATTGTTGTTTAGTTTGTGTGTGTCTGTTTGTGTGTTGTTGTGTGGGCCTGGGTAGGTTGGGCGGGAGGTTGAGGTGGTATTCTTTTTCTGTGTGCTGTTTTTGTTTTTAGTTGAGGACAGAGTCGTCGGCTCTATCGACCGTTTAGCTTGGAGGTTACTAGTGGCGGCGAAGATCTCGGGTCCCAGTTAAACCTCCACTCTGTGATTCTCAAGAGATTTTGCCTTGCCTCAGGCCTCCTGAATAGCTAGTGGAATAAGACGGGCGCCAGCCACCATGCATGGCTAATTTTTTTTTTTTTTTTGTTTTGCTTTGAGTAAGAGATGATAGTTTCACTTGTGTGGGCCAGATTCTGTCTTGATGACTCGCTGACTCAAGAGATTCACTCCTGCCGTCAGCCTCTCCTGAGGTACTGTGGGATGATTTGGAATTGTTGCCAGCCGCAGCGCGATTTGGCATGGCTAATGTTTTTTTTTGTTGTTTGTATGTTTTGTGAGTAGAGAGAGGTTTCACCTGTGGTGCCAGGACTGTTCTGAGACTCCGTGCCTCAGGGGAGAGTGATCCGTTTGCCGTTGCCTCTCGCAAAGTGCGTGGATTACAGGCAGGAGCCACCACACGCAGCATCGTTGTCTATTTGTTCGGGTGTTGACGTCGTTAAGTGTGTCTTTAGAAGGCAAAGTGAGTCGTCTTGTAAGCCACAATATTTGAGAATTGTTTTTTATTCATTCTGTACTTTGTCGGATTATGGGTTTAAGCTATGTTAGCTTTTAAAGTAGACTGTTGTATAGGTATAGGACGTTGCTATTATCATTTTGATTAATTGTTTTCTGACTGTTTTGGTGGTTCTGTGTTCTCTTTTCTGTTTCCTTGTTGTGATTTGGTGGTTTTTGTAGTGTAGCTGTGATTTTTTTTTTTGTTTGGGGTGGAGTTGTTGCTCTTGTGTGCCCAGAGTGCGTTGCATATTGGTGCAATTCGGCTCACTGCAACCTGTACCTCCCTGGTTCAAGCAATGCTCCTGCCTCAGCCTCCCAAATATCTGAGATTACAGACGTGCACTACCGCACCCGGCTAATTTTTAAAATTTTTTTGCGATGGAGTCTTGCTGTGTTGCCCAGGCTGGAGTGCAGTGGTGAAATCTCAGCTCACTGAAACCTCCAGCTCCTGGATTCAAGCGATTCTCCTGCCTCAGCCTTCCGAGTAGCTGGGATGACAGATGCCCAACACCACTCCCAGCTAATTTTTATAATTTTAGTAGAGACAGTGTTTCACCATGTTGGCCAAGCTGGTCTCAAACTTCTGACCTCAGGTGATCCACCGCCCCGGCCTCCCAAAGTGCTGGGATTACAGGCATGAGCCTCCGGTCCTGGCCTCTAATTTTTTCTTTATATCTTGTATATCAATTCCAAAAGTATGGAATTTTGGAATTGTGGCCACCATCATATAAAAATTGCGGGAGGTAATTGTTTCAGAGTGAGTTTCTGCACCAGGCCCCAACAGATCAGGCCAAATCAATGTGAAGTCAAGTTTTTATTTTACTATTATTATTATTATTAGTTGGTGTTAAACACCTTTAATGTCAGTCATCGCGGCTTTTCAGCACAGTAAACAGAAAAATCGCACATACAGACTCAACATGGTATCATTGTTCTGGGGAACGGGGGGCAAAGAGAGCGCGCAGAAGGGGAAACATGCAGCCTTCCTTAGAAACGTAACAACCAAGTATTGAGAAGCGGCAGGAAGAAGGGATGGGGGCCAGAAAACTTCCGGGATCAGCACTGTGGCAAAAGCTGGGCAGCGAGCCCAAAACCAGCAACCCCCAAACTAAACTGAGTCGCAGCCATACTCTAGAGGGGAAAAAAAGGGGTACATGAAGCTCCATACTACTGCGCAGAAGACGGACCTCGCCTGAGAATGCAATGGACCGGCCGGCCGACGGGGAAGGAAAGAAAAAAACTCGTGTTGCGCACCAACCACTCACAGCTTGCAGGCCCCTTGGCAGGAGCTGTTCTCGGATACGTGAGAAAGCTCTGAAGGTCACATACTCCAGGTTATGTACAGGGGCTTGGAGGAGGGAGACTGCCCCTGCGGCGCCCCCAGCTGTCCCCGGCACCTGGAGGGAGCTGCAGGGGTAAGGGGTATCTAAAAGAGGAGCAGGCTTCATTCCGTCCTAAACTGGAAAGGATGAAATGGCTTTACCCAGGAGGAGATAACCATCCTGCCCTCCATTGCTACCCCCACATACTGTCCGTGTTCTCAGGGGCTACTGTGAGTCCTGGGATCTTCTCCGGGGTCCCCCACCTGCCTGTGGTAGCTGTGTGAGGGACCCAGGGGTAGGGGGCAGGGCTTGGGGAGTCCCCTTTCAGCCAGGCTGTCCAGGCTGTCTGGGGCAGAAGGAGTGGTGGGCAGAGCCAGAGTCTGAGCCCATTGAGGTGGGGTCAGGTCCCCCTCAGGGCTGGGAGTCAGGGCAGAGGCAGCAGTGGTGCCAGTGGGTGGCGGTCTAGGGGGAGAAGCCTCAGCCCCGGGGGCTGCTCCGTGGGAGTGGCCGCTGCATGATCTTCTGGACACCTCACCGATCTTCAACTGCAGGTGAAACGGATGCTGGTGATGGGTGCAGGGCCACCAGGAGCCGCTGCCTGGGTCCCAGGGTCTGGTGCTGAGGCAAGTACCGCCTGAAGCTGCTGGGATAGCGTGGGCAGGATGTTCAGCACACAAACCTTGGAGGGGAAGATGGGTACATAGCAGGCCTGGAGGGAGGCTGTGGCCTGGGGAACGGGACGAAGCCGTGGTCCTGGAAGAGCTGCAGGACCAGGGCCCGGCGCTAGTCCAGGGCACACACAGTGTGGAGGACCGCACCTTCTCCGACTCCGGCTCCCTGAGCCCGTCCTCTGCTTCTCTGCCTGTGCTGGCAAAGGGGAAGCTGTCCCCCTCGCACTTGGCACACTTTGCTGTTTTGGGTTCTAGGCTGCAGCTGGAGCATTTTTTCATCTTGCACTTGGGCGAGGTGGGGTCCTTGGGTGCGGGATCCAGGTCGTGGGGTTTCCTGTGCCCCACCCCACAAAGCCCAGTCAGTTTCTCCTTTGCAGGCGCCGTCCCCCGGGTGGCTCAGCCAAGCTGGTGCCTAGGAAAGCCTGTGTTGGGAGGGGCCGTGATGGCTGTGGGGCCTGGTGGCTCCAGGCCACCCACACTTTCAGGTCTCTTGTGCAAGAAGGTGGCAGGATCCATTGGGAGGAACCAGGTTGCCTTGGAAGGTGTCACTGGGTCCCCAGCCCCAGGGAGTGGGGGTCCATAGGGGGCCTGCTGTGCTGCCCTGACGAGACTCTTTCCTGGGCCCAGTGAGAAGGAGGTGGCTGCCGAGGTTGAGGAGGAAGCATCCAAGTACATGGAGGAGGAGGACAGGGTGGGACCATAGCCTTGCCAAGGCTGCAGGTGGATTGGGGGGGCCTTGGGGGCTCAGGATCCAGCAAAGGGGTGGCAGGGGATAAAGGAAGAGCAGATGACAGGTGCAAACACCTTCCCACCAAAGCCCTTGTTGCCCTCTGGTTCCTCCTTAGAGCCTCCCTATTCTCACTGTTGGTCACCCGCTCCTTGCACTTGAGATCAATGTCAGTGGTGCTGAAGCCATCATCAGCAATGACATCATCACCCCTTCCTCCTCAGGGCTGACCCCTCGTCACTCGCTATGTCCTCACTGGCCACATGCTGGGAATGAGAAGCTCAGGTGGGCAGCAGCAGGGCTGCCCACTGGCCACCAAGGCACCTCCCTCACCAAGGGCTGCAAAGGGACCTAGAGCTCCATACTGGGTAGAAGGCTTTGGGCCAGAGTCTGATGCAGCGCCAGACACCACCTGCATTAGTTCCTGTAGTGCCTGATGGTCACTTCCCCGCCGTCCAGGCTGCGTACCCCACTGTGGGAGAAGGCTTGCAGCCCAGCTGAGCCAGGTTCCCTGTGTGCAGCTGTTCTGCCCCACAGAAGCTGCTCCTTGGTATCCCAGCTCAGGAGTGTCTGGGCTGCAACTGACAGGAGCTCAGAGGACACCACACGGCAGTGGCAATGCCCATCTCCAACATGCTCTGCTCCGCGAGCCCTTGTTCACTCCTGCCAAGCCCAAGCTCGTGGGGTTGGCCTCTGAGCTGGACTTCTTTCGGTCCTTGTTGCAAGTGGACCACCTTCACCTGGGAGGTCAGGTCGTGGTACTTCTGCGTCTCATTGGACCCCAGGGTGTACCACCACTTGCTCAGGTCCGGTTGTCGTAGTTGGGGTGACGCTGGTGGGCCCTGCCAGGGCCTGGTGCCACTTGCTGAAGATCATGACTGCCACTCATGGGCCACTGGATGTGGCCCTTGTCCCATTTGTTGGGGCTGCATCCATCCTTCTCAGAAGATGAGTCCTGTTCCTTGCGCAGGGCACTGAGGGACTGGGTCCGACATCTTCTGGGTGGTAGAGGCAACTGGGTGTCAGGAGACATGATGGACAGGAGGGCATTATTGTCATCATTCTCTGTCTCACCATCCAGCAGGGGCTCCCCGAGGGGCCCAGGGCTCCTCCCCCATGGTGGGAGGTGGGCTCTTACCAGGTTCCACCACCCACAAAGTGTGTGGGGGTCTGAACCCTGGGCTTTCAGGACAGGTGGTTCCAGGGGGCTGCCCAGGGTTAGCACTCCCTGTCCCACCTGGTGGATGCTCATGAGCAACAGCTGCCAACTTGGCAGGTTCTTTTGTCTGGTTAGAGGCCACTGAGTGACTGGCAGGTTGCTGGGCCTCGGGCGGCTGCAGGGAGGGATCAGGAAGGGGACCGAATACCAGGGGGACATGGCCACAGAGCGAGGTTCCACGTTCCTCCACGTGAACATGCTGACGCCACTGGAGGCCTCGCTGGACGCAGGCATCAGGGGCCTGTGGGCCGAGTGCTTGGTCTGGGCAGGGGGTTCCTGGCAGGGGCTCTCACCTCCTCAGCCCCCTCCTCAGCCAAGGTGGCTTGGGCCCAGAGGATGGGGGGTTGGAGGGGAGCAGAAGACTAGGCCTCAAGTTTTTGTTTTTGTTTTTGTTTTTGTTTTTGAGATGTAGTTTGACTCTTGTCGCCCAGGCTGGAGTGCAGTGGTGCAATCTCAGTGACCTTCACCACACCTGGCTAATTTTTTGTATTTTTAGTAGAGATGGGGTTTTGCCATGTTGGCCAGGCAGGTCTTGACCTCCTGACCTCAGGCAATCCACCCACCTTGGCCTCCCAAAATGCTGGGATTATTGGCATGAGCCACCGCGCCCAACTTCATTCTTTCGTTTTTACTTGAAAAACTCCCTTAAGCATTTTTTTTAAGGTAGACCTAGTGGTCCTGAATTCCCTCAGCTTTGTTTGTCTAGGGAACATGTTATTTCTTCTTTCTTTTGGAAGGATAGCTTTGTCAGACATAGTATTAGTTGCTGGCAGTTTTTTTCTTTCAGCACTTTGAATGTATTATTCGAATCTGTCCTGAACCGCAAAGCTTCTTCTGAGAAATCTGCTGGTAGTCTAATGAAGATTCTCTTGTCTATGTCACGCCACCTTTCTCTTGCCTCTTCAACATTTTAAAAAATCTTTAACTTTTGACTGTTTGATTATATTGTGACTTGGTGAGTATCTATTTGGTTTGAACCTCTTTAGAAATCTTTAAGCTTCATGGATTTGGATGTCTAAATCTTTCCCATGATTTAGGCAGTTTTTAGCCATTCTTTCTTTAAATAAGCTTTCTTCTCCTTTTCTATTTTCCATCTCAAACTCCATAAATTGAAAATGGTTTGCCTAATGGTGTCTCGTTGGCTTTTCTTTTCTTTTCTTTTCTTTTTTTTTTTTTTTTTTTGAGACAGGTTCATGCTCTGTTGCCCCAGGCTGAAGGTGCAGCATAGTCTTGGCTCACTGCAACCTCGCTTCCTGGGTTCAAGCAATTCTCCTGCCTCAGCCTCCATAGTAGCTGGGACCACAGGTCGTGTGCCACCACACCTGGCTAATTTTTTGTATTTTTTAGTGAGATGGGGTTTTGCCATGTTTGGCCAGGCTGTCTTGAACTCCTGACCTCAGTGATCTTCCGCGCATCGGGCCTCTCCAAGTGTTGGATTCAAGTTGTGAGCCACCATGCCCAGGCCTTTTATCTTTTTTTTCCTTTGTCCTCGACTGTGATTAATTCAGATAGACTATATTCAAGTTAACACGATTCTCTCTGTTGAAGTTTTTATATTGTGGTATATTTCACCTGCGAGTCTGGTCTTTGAACTACCTTGAGCTCAAGCGATTTCCTACTGCCCTGTCCTCCCAAGAATGCGATTACAAGCCATTGAGCCAACACTGTATTCCAGTCAGTTCCCAGCACTTTTTGGGAAGTTGTATGGTGGGAAGGATCACTTGAGCTCAGTGAGTTTGAGAATCAGCCCAAGGACAACATTACCTGAGACCTGTCTTATATTAAAAAAAAAAAAAAAAAAAAAGGTCTTTGGGAGGCCAACAACAGCGTAAGATCACCTGAGTCAGGTAGTTCGGTAGACCAGTCCTGCCAACATAGGCCAAAACCCCATCTCTACTTAAAAGTACAAAAATTAGCTGGGGTGGTACAGTCCGTAGTCCCAGCCTGCTCAGGAGGGCTGAGTCAGGAGAATTGGAGATGGAGGTTGCAGTTAGCACGAAGATCTGCACCACTTATCTGTCCAGGCTGTGGGGCAATAGAGTGCGACTCCATCTAAATAAAGGAAAAAAGAAAGAAAAGAAAAATCCTCTGATTTACTCTCTTGAGTGTTTTAGATTGTTTATGTAGATCAATGCTCTCCTCCTGATGATTTTCGGGTTTGTTTGATCAGAAAAAGCATGCTTCTTCTGTTTTCGGCCACACTGTGGTAAGGGTACCACAACTGCACATTGGTTTTCACAGCCTGCAGGACAAGTTCGAGCATCCTTTAAAATGATCCAACCAGAGAGGGATAGAGAAGCTGAAGAAGAGGAAAAACAACTGGAAAGGAGAAATCATAGATTTTTATAAAACTGAAAGCTGCCTCTGATAGCACTGCAGACATTGGGACAGCTGAGTACCTGATACAATGAAAGACAAAAATCTAAGAACTAATAGTTCCTTACTTGATATTCCATCATGAAGCCTATATCATTTTCCTACATATCCATCTTTTCCTGAGGGGCCCAAGGAAGAGTGGGAAATCGCTTCAACAGGTTCACCCTTGCCTGCTGCCTAGACCAGAGCCGATTTACTCAAGACAGGGGAATTGCCATGGAGAATAATTCACCCAGACGGTGGGCTGTGCTGAGAACTTTTGAAAGTTTTATTATTAAGC